CGCCCCAGATCCTCCAGTTTCCCAGGTCCATGCTGATACACTGTCCTCTTCAGTTTTCTATAGGGTTCAGGTCAGGGAAATGGGACGGCCATGGCAGAAGCTTCATTTTATGCTCAGTGACACATTTTTGTGTTAACTTTGGTGTTTGTTTTGGATCACTATCCTGATGGAAGATCCGATCACGGCCCATTATAAGATTTCTAACAGAAGCAGTCAGGTTTAGATTTCTTATCTGTTGGTATTTGAATGAATCCATGATGCCATGTATCTGAACAAGATTACAGGATCTCCGGCAGAAAAACAGACGAGCTGTACACTGTAAAAAAAATTCTGTAAAATTTACGGTAAAAAACCGGCAGCTGTGGTTGGCGGAATTTTACTGTAAAAAATACGATAGCAACATTTTAGGTTTTACGGTTTTAACTTAAATTTACAGTTAAATACCGTAATTTCATTAACTGATATAATGTTAATATACCAACCTATTGAAGTACTGAAATCTGTTTTGTACATTTGTAATACACTGTTCTGGGAATGTAAATTTACGGTTATTCACTGTAAATTATACAGTCTTTTTTTGGAACTCCTTAATTATTTTCCTAATGGTGGAAATGGAAATTTTCAATGCTTTAGCTATTTTCTTACTTTTTTTTTACTTTCTATTTTGTGCTATTTTCATGACTTAATATTTTGCACTATTTATCATTGTGATGAATGATTAAGGGAATTTGGCCTTTGTGTTCCCTCATATTTAGAGTATATTCCTGTGAAACAGGAAGTCATGGCTAGATAATTTCATGTTCCTAAGTAATCACGTTGCGCTAAAAATTTTATTATGTAATCTTTAGAGATTTTACTCGTAATAATTTCTAGGGGTATAAATAATTGTGGCCAATGTGTATTAGAGAAAAAAACAATATTTTCATAATGTGATGTTGAAAAGTTTGATTTTTGTGATTTTTATTTATTTAGAAAGATCAAAAGGATTAACATTACATATTTATTTTCACAATCCTTTTTGATCATAGGGTGTCAATAATTCTGAACATAACTCTCTCTCTCTCTCTCTCTCTCTCTCTCTCTATATATATATATAATAGCTGCTTTATGTATAACATAATAAATGACAACAACAACTAATTGCAAGAATTTATGCAATAATTCATTACAAACAGATTTCTAGGCATTTCTTTTCTTTTATTCCACAGCTGATGTGTGCAGTTTATTTTGCTTGCTTTAAAAAGTTTCCTCTTGTTCAGGAAAGTTTTTTTTTAATTGTAGTCCTTTTTTTCTGCTGCCGTTGTTTCCTTGGGTTTCCTTCTCAGTTCCATACAATTTTAAGCGTTGGTTCATTACATTTATAGGCAACCTCTGTCATGCTAATTCAAATTGGTTTTAATCTGGTTTATTATAGTTCAGGACTCCATAGCCCATGTGTTAGTAATTTGTTCTTAATCTGTGTTTCAGAAAGCCATTTCATGATTAACTATTCTAGATTAAGCCTACTCCTGGCTTTATTTAAACCCTGTCTGGGAAACCGCTCCTTTATCCAGAATATTGTGTGACATTGAGTGCCTACAAGTGACCTTGATTGCTTAATTAGAACATAACACAAATTACTATATAAATGACAATGAATCAAAGATGAATGAAACAATCAAAGATCATGATGACTGCGAATGTTTAAGAAAGCTCTGGGAGACTCCCTTTTTCCCCTGCTTAGTATGACTAAGATGATAGCACTCTGTGTTCTGGGAAATAAGTATTGCACTCCATTGACTCACTGTTATGGATTTCAAGATAACTGCTACATGAATCAGCAACTCGAGCAAGGTGATTAAAGCTAATCTTTTAACTGTATAATGGTCTTGTTCTGAGATCCAAAAATATATTCCTTCATCCTTTCTCTTACATAAGATGGATTTGTCTTTTTTGCACAAACCAAAAAAACTAGAAGATAAGATTAGAAAGAACTAGAAGGCCAGATTAGAAGATGTGCACCAAACATCTCTACGATTAATCAATGAGAGTCAAAGGGCAGGTTATCATATCAGTCAGCCCAGGCATGTCTCCAGCGCAGCACAAAGACCCTGCAGAACTGCTTTGGTACCTCTCTCTCTCTCTCTCTCTCTCTCTCTCTCTCTCTCTCTCTCTCTCTCTCTCTCTCTCTCTCTCTCTCTCTCTCTCTCTCTCTCTCTCTCTCTCTCTCTCTCTCTCTCTCTCTCTCTCTCTCTCTCTCTCTCTCTCTCTCTCTCTCTCTCTCTCTCTCTCTCTCTCTCTCTCTCTTCAAATATCTCTCTCTCTCTCTCTCTCTCTCTCTCTCTCTATATATATATATATAATAGCTGCTTTATGTATAACATAATAAATGACAACAACAACTAATTGCAAGAATTTATGCAATAATTCATTACAAACAGATTTCTAGGCATTTCTTTTCTTTTATTCCACAGCTGATGTGTGCAGTTTATTTTGCTTGCTTTAAAAAGTTTCCTCTTGTTCAGGAAAGTTTTTTTTTAATTGTAGTCCTTTTTTTCTGCTGCCGTTGTTTCCTTGGGTTTCCTTCTCAGTTCCATACAATTTTAAGCGTTGGTTCATTACATTTATAGGCAACCTCTGTCATGCTAATTCAAATTGGTTTTAATCTGGTTTATTATAGTTCAGGACTCCATAGCCCATGTGTTAGTAATTTGTTCTTAATCTGTGTTTCAGAAAGCCATTTCATGATTAACTATTCTAGATTAAGCCTACTCCTGGCTTTATTTAAACCCTGTCTGGGAAACCGCTCCTTTATCCAGAATATTGTGTGACATTGAGTGCCTACAAGTGACCTTGATTGCTTAATTAGAACATAACACAAATTACTATATAAATGACAATGAATCAAAGATGAATGAAACAATCAAAGATCATGATGACTGCGAATGTTTAAGAAAGCTCTGGGAGACTCCCTTTTTCCCCTGCTTAGTATGACTAAGATGATAGCACTCTGTGTTCTGGGAAATAAGTATTGCACTCCATTGACTCACTGTTATGGATTTCAAGATAACTGCTACATGAATCAGCAACTCGAGCAAGGTGATTAAAGCTAATCTTTTAACTGTATAATGGTCTTGTTCTGAGATCCAAAAATATATTCCTTCATCCTTTCTCTTACATAAGATGGATTTGTCTTTTTTGCACAAACCAAAAAAACTAGAAGATAAGATTAGAAAGAACTAGAAGGCCAGATTAGAAGATGTGCACCAAACATCTCTACGATTAATCAATGAGAGTCAAAGGGCAGGTTATCATATCAGTCAGCCCAGGCATGTCTCCAGCGCAGCACAAAGACCCTGCAGAACTGCTTTGGTACTTTGCTTCCCCATTGGCACTTGGATGACAATAGAGACTGCTGTATCTGGAGAGGACAAACCATCTCTCAAATATGCCTTTGTCTCCTTTTTACAGCACAGAGGACAGACGATGACATCTGCCCAGCAGACATGCACTGACTCACCAGAATCTGCAATGATATCAAGAAGTCTTAAAAGATCAACTCAATGTGTTAAAACAGCTGATGATCAGTAGCTCACAAGTTGTGCCATTTTTGACCATAGTAGTGCTTGCTAAGACTTGCATCACTATTCATATTGCTTTTGTTTTTAAGTGCACTATACATTTTTCAAGTGATCAGACTTTCAGTTTTCACTCACACTAAAGGAATGATCCGAGACATATCTATTGGGATATCATGAGGGTATACATTAATTAGTAATTTTACTAGATGGCTCAGTTCACAGTCTGGATCCGCCTGGATTCCTTTGTTGTGTTGCATGTGCGACAAAGATAACATTTACATTACATATGTGTTCCAAGTACACAATGTTCAGAATTTTCTGGAGCATAGCAGAACAGCCTTAATCCTATAAAGCCTGAGATTAAATATAAAATAATAGTCAGAAAAAAATCTTAAACAGTCTATCGAACCTTTAGAGAAATTTTTTTTTTAATATGTTTATGATTTGTATCTTTTTTTTAATTCATATGGCTTAGTATATCACGTTTAATTTGTTTGTGTATATACATATATATATATATATATATATATATATATATATACAGTAGTCAGCATTTGAAGTGGATCAAAACATTTTATCAAAGTTGTCCTAAAACCTAAAACCAAAATGCGTTCTTGTCTTAGGACAACTTTGATGAACTTTTTTGATCCACTTCAAATGTTGACTACTATATATATATATATATATCAGTCCATTAAATGTTTATCTTAACATACTGACAATGTAAAAAATATTCTTATCAATCTGAAGGGGGACATTTGTTGAATTATAAAAGGCCTTTTACTTGCTAAAAAAGTAACTACCAATAAGAGGGCTATAGGCATGCAGAAAATTGTGTGAAACAAGTTTTTTTTCCCCAGTAGGCTAACGTATATCATATAAAAGTGATATGATATAAAAACACTTTACATTATTATAGGCAAAAAAGATCCATAGAGACAGTCTTGACTCAGATTTATTTGATCACATGAGTCTGTTTAGTTCATGTTGCTACACATCGACAAACACTGAATCATCCGAATAATTGTATTCGCAACAATATTCAATGATTTCACAATCAACGCACAAAATGCTATGGGTGTTGCTTTAGCATGGCATCAAATGTCTTGTTGATGATTAAACAATAGGCTACATATTACATATATTAAGAACATATAATTATCATTTACATATAGGAACAAAGGTAAGTTCATCAGCGCATTTTCAAACCGCTGTAAATTTTAAAACTATTTGAAAAGCATCACTCAGCCATTTTTCCACACTCCCGCTCAGGAAGAGAAAGCATATAGTCGCAGCTGCCCCGCCCCCTCTTCTCCGCTCACCCAATAAAATACCCGCAAACTTGCATACCCCCATTGCACACAAGGAGTTGCTTGTGCGTCGCCGAACCGCCCCTTATCACTGTTCAGCCAATAGAAGAGTAGGATGAATTTGCATATACTTCCTCTAACTAAGTGTCTAGTAAAACAGAGAAACAGTTGCGCCGTTTCTGCGTTTTAGGCCCGTGTTGAACCTGACGCACACTCGTTGGTGTGCTGATGAAGTTTTGAAAAGTTATTTTCTCAGACATTCAAATCGGAAAAAAAAACTCGCGTGAGGAGATTTTTTTGAAAAAGTTACTCTTATACATCGGTGTAAAATTATTCCTAACAATGGATGATCAGATGGAAATAAGCTCCACGACACCCTCGTATGGCTTTCAGCACGATGAAGAATACAGAGCAGACGAACACGTGAAGTCGTTGGTGGACGATGCAGCTGATTTATCGGAAAGAGAGGCAGATGCTAAAGCTCCAGACGACGATGATATCTTAGATCTGGCCGGAGGAGCGAAAGATGCGCTGGAGAGGCACAGGTCCACACTGCCACGTACCGAAGAACCTCTGCTGGACTTTACAGATCCAGAACCAGAACCATCATCCACCTCTAAACCAGAGCCAGAAGCTGTCAAACCAGCACCGAGCAGTGCGTTTGGAGACGCAACAGCAAAACCGACAAAATCAGAAGAAAAAGAAGAGGAATCATCAGTCACACCATCCAAATATAAATCTTGTTGTTCATGTAAGTACACTATCTATTTGTAACTTATCATTTGGATATGAATCGGGGATCTGTAAATGTTATCACAAACTAAAATAAGCGTAATAAACTTTACATGTTACACCAGGAACAACTGGCATGACGTCAGATCCGTTTTAATTATTCATGTTACATGTATTAATCAAGACTTTATTAATTTTATATTGCACACAGTTTGAGGTTTCTGATTTAAATTTAAGTCTCCGATTCTTATCTCAACAAGTGTTTTAACTGATGCTCATCATTGGGAACTTTTCAAATATTTCGATATGTTATCTTGATGCATCCCTTTATCGCCATCGTGTGGAACATGTGTGTAACTGACGGGAATGAAACCCGCCAAACTGTGTTAATTGTCGAACTATTTCTATAAAAAAAAATATATATATTTTTTAATGTTTCTATATATATAAAAAACGTTTTTATTTCAGCTTCACATATTTAATGTGCACCTCCCTATTGTAAATACAGGCTGGACAAAGGTCAGTTTAGTTAGGTGACCGAGTTTAGTTTCATTGACCTTGAGGAAAACGCAGTGACCCATAAATCGTCCTTTAGACATTCATACTTCAATGAAAGCCTGTCCATAATCATTACAGCCTAAATGACAGATTAAGTCTGAAGTTCATTTTTTTTTCTCCAGTTAGTATTTTTAGTGCTTCAACTTGAAATGATTTCAATTAGTTGCTAAGGCAAACAATTTTTTTTGTAATTATTACTTTTTCTTTTTAGTTTCAGTTTCATTTCAATGAACAAAAATGTTTTGATAGTTTTAGTTAATAATAGTAATAATTAGAGGTTGACCGATAGTGGATTTTGCCGATACCGTTCCAGCAATCAACTATCGGTGCCAATTAATCGGCAAAACCGATACATCGGTCGACCTCTAGTAATAATCATGGTGCTTGATGTTTCTGTAAAGAAAATGTGATGCTCCTAAATCTAAAAGTTTCTACAAAAAAATTCTTGCTTTTATATCATATATAAATTTTTATTCAGAATGTGCGCATTTGCTCATAGGAACACTGAGGACAGGCCAAAAAGTACATCCACATCAAGTTATTATTAATAATGCATTTCGAAAATTAAACCGTATGTGTATGAGGAACACAAACGGTGCCCGGTTTGTAGAGCGACACAGCTGATGTTGTGCTAAAACCTCATGTTACTAGTACACGGCGTTCAGCAGTGAATGTGGTCAGCTGACCTCAGCAGTGCTGGCCTTTGCAGAACGTGATCAGGCAGTTCTGCTAGGAGAGCCGTAGTGTCTCTCTCTACCCTTCAGTCCTGTCCTGCCCCAGCCAGAGACTCGTGCCTCTTTCCTCACCCCCGATCACCTCTTCTGCCGACTGGAATGTATGACTGATGCACGCCAATTCAGATAACACGCCTTCTGCGACGGCCTCAGGGATGGAGATAAAGCACTGGAAAGAACAGGGTACATTCTTGTTTTGCCATAAAAAGCCTGAAAATGGACTGAAGAGGCCGTTTTTCTGCTTGCTTTGTTCATAAGTGTTATTAGGTATAGCTCCGAGTAAGTTCGGTTTTGAGGTTTTGCTTGCAAAGGTGCTTTGGGGGAGAGAATGTTCTAGTTGCGCTGAGTAAATGGTCTGGGTGTCTTGATTACAAAGCATATTACAACGGCAAGCATTTATCCTTCTGCCAGAGAATTCTCTTGGCAAACTGCCTGTTTGCTGCACAGAATGTTGAACTGACTGCATAATCTGAATTCAGTGCATTTTTGAAAAGTTAAAGAAAATATGATGCAGCGTGTCGGAGTCATTCACAGCACCTTGAGGAGTCATTGCAACATGAGGAGCTTTAAGCAGCAATTTGTTTATAAGAATTGTTTTTGTGTGTTGGCATCATTAAGCACTTTGTCATTGTGTTGTAGATATTCTTGGAAGGGGAGGCAATGCTCTTTAAATTGTTTATGCACGTTGGCACTTATTGTGGCAATGAAATCAAGTTGGGAACATTTAATGAAGGGTGATGTCTGATCTAAACTTTTGTGAACCCTGAATGCTGGCTTACGAAAGGGTTTCCTGGATAGACACCTACAGTGTGCCTGGCTATAGGATAAGGTGAGATGTGCTCATTTTGAGTCTAGATTTATCAATTTGCCTCCCATGAGTTCCAATTGAATTTTATTCAGTTTTAAGGAAACGTTATACAAAAACTGGTTCTCTGTAGTTGAGCACCTGAGGCGAATATATTTTATTCTAGATATTTCTGCTGCAATGACAGTTAATGTTAAACATTTAATATGCACATCTGTTCAAAGGTTTGCAGTCAGAAATCTTTTTTTTAATGAAAAATTAATATTCTACATTTGTTCAGCAAAGAACACATTAAATTGATCAAATGTGACAAGGATGCTACTTTTTTTTTTTTTTTTTGTTTA